GACCGATCCTGTGCAGCTTCACTTCAGGTTTCAGAACGATATCCAGCAGTCTGCGCTGACGATCCACCTCTTCTTCGTACTGGACGATGGTTTTTTCAAAGACTGTGAATATTTCTTCAGCAGCAGCAGTTAGTCGCTCACTGATCAACTCTCTCAAATACTGAACCGAAGACATCGCTGCTCCGTCAACTACTTGAAGATTCACCCGAGACACGAACACACTACCGCCTTCCGGCGAACTGCTAACACTGAGCTAACGCTGCTAGCGCCGTCTGTTTACTTCCGGTGGGTGTCACACTGCGAAGGTCCTGAAGAACAACGTCCTTTTAAGTCGTTGTCGCGGTCGTGTCGCAGGTTTACGTTCAAGTTGTCCAGGAAGCAGCGATGTCTTCGGAGAAAGAGGACGATCGTCAGCGCAGACTTCTGGGTATCTTCATGAGAGCGGAAATCAAGCTTCATAGAATCGGTCTGTATAACCACAATGTGGCTTCTAGTGAGCTCTGCGGTTTCTCCAGACAGAGAAGACAGAAGACAGCCCGGGGCCTGTTTCAGTTTCAGTGGAAACACAGCGAGTTGCCTCAGTCTTAATGGAAAATGTCCTCTCTTTTTGCAAACTTCATGGTTGTAGTCTCTGTTTTGTGTATCTGTGTTCCTCCAGAGCTCCCACAGCAGCATGTCTGTAGAGAGGAGGTTCTCACTGACCAGAAACCTCTGCAGATTAAAGAGGAGCAAGAGGAAATGTGCATCAGTCAGGAGGGAGAGCAGCTCGTACTAAAGAAGGAGACTGAAACCTTCATGTTGACATCAGCACAGAAGAAAAACATATGGATTCAGTATCAACTAGTAATGAGGAATCAAACCCACAGAAGACTCTTCATGAAAACAGGAGTCACAGAGACAATGTTTTTAACTCTCCCATATCAGAGATTAACTTGAATACACACACAAGTGAAAACATTTTCAAATGTGACACTTGTGGAAAAGCATCTGAGTCAACACTGGAGAGAAACCATATTGTTGCAACATTTGTGTGAAAAGTTTAAGACATACTGGTCATTTGAATGTCCACATGAGATGTCACGCAGGTGAGAAGCCATATTCTTGCCAAACATGTGTGAAAAGTTTTGGACGTAGTTGTGACTTGAAAGTCGACACAAAAACGCACACAGGCGAGAAGCCTTTTTCTTGTAAAATATGTCAGAAAAGTTATGTAGACAATTGTAAATTAAAAGTCCACATGAACATTCACACTGGTGAAAAGCCATATTGTTGCCAAACGTGTGGGAAAGGTTTTGCACATAGTGGTCATTTTTCAGTCCACATGAGGAGTCACACAGGTGAGAGGCCATTTTCTTGCAAAAAATGTCAGAAAGGTTTTGGATGTAATGGTGCCTTAAATATGAGAACTCACACAGATGAGAAGCCGGCAACAGGTGATAAAAGCTTTTCTTAGTTTACACACATGAAAATGCATTTAAAGATTTATACAGGTAAAAAGTAGTGTTTACAAAACGAGTGGGAGAGCTTTCATTTAATTTTTAATTTAACACTTGACTGTAAACATTTTATTACATATTTTAAAGATGAGAATTATATCACTGACTTCATTATAAACTCAATGTCCTGTAAATTTGCAGAATGAACAACCACCAAGTTATAGCCAAAACGTTAACGAACCAGCTCAAATTTAGAAGTACAATGTCAATCAGCAATAAGTAACGGTTTCCTCCTCTTTATACATGTTTTATCTCCTGTTTTGACAAAATGTTGTATTTATTATTCAGCTGAATATTTTCTGTGTTGAGCACATATCTGTCATACTTGTAGAAATACATGCTTTGTTAATAAAGTGGTTTTATAAAGAAAACACTAAATGGTTGTTTCCGTAAGACTTAAAAAGTGATGACTGAAATGTGCTAACAGTAAAGAAATGTAGATCATAAAAAAAATAATATTCATGAGGAGTGACTCCACAGGATCGTAGGACACGTGACTGAAGGCGGAAATATAGAGCTGAGTCCGTCGCTCAGTGTCGGAACTTCCCAGTGTGACACACAGCGGAAGTAGACGAACAAAGCGCAGCAGCGTAAGCAGCGTTAGCTCCATGGATGTTAGCAGTTAGCAGGAAGTCGTTGTCGCGGTCGTGTCGTAGGTTTACGTTCAAGTTGTCCACGAAGCAGCGATGTCTTCGGAGGAAGAGGACGATCGTCAGCGCAGACTTCTGGGTATCTTCATGAGAGCTGAGATCAAGCTTCATAGAATCGGTCCGTATAACCACAATGTGGCTTCTAGTGAGCTCTGCGGTTTGTGCAGACAGAGAACAGTCGACCCGGGGCCTGTTTCAGCTGCAGTGGAGACACAGCGAGTTGTTTTCACCCTGAGTTTCTCCTTCTCTGTAGCGGAAACTTTCAGACTGAAGCAGGTGTCAGTCACGGTGTGCACTTTACAGACAGACACACAATAAGCTACATTTACTTCTGATTGACTCACTGAATCCAAATGTCTCTGGAGGCAGGAATCAGCACAAACTGTGTCGATATTTCTTTTCCTGTGTGAGTTCACACGATGAGTTCCCAGCTCTCAGCTTCTGTAGCAGCACCTGTGGTCCCTCTCCACCCGATAAAGTTACTCATCTTGAGATTCCTCCTCAAGCGCTGTTCCCATCCGTACATGTGTTTTTGAGTTGTTTTGTAACGTGAACAGATAATGGTGATAACAGTATCCTGCTGCCAGATTTACTGGTGCACAAACACCACCCAATCAACACCACCCCTTCCAACAGGAGAGAGGGAAGGAACATGCCTACAGACAGGCCTTTGAGAACAGGGTTGAGAAGGGGATCATGATACTTTGG